AATATGTCTTTGAGTGTCAAGGCGTCCCACCGAATGAAGTGATGAAACTAGCAGACAACTTGTTGAGGACGAGTGCATCTCATTGGCGGATAAACTTGAAGATTCTTCGAGAGCAAGAAATAAAGAGTAAAACTACTATCTGGTCTAAGATAAAACGAGAGGTGCAATGTCACTTCCTCCCAGTTCTTTACAATAAGGATGTTCAAAGCCTATCTTTAAAAATAGATACAACATCACCGAATAACCACATCTTATAGACAAAATTCATTCAAATGTCAAGAGCACAGCCCATAGAGCATCCAAGCGGACCCCACCAGAGGAGAAACTAGTTCAAAGTGGAGAAAATGTGGAACCAATTCGGATTCTTAAATCTATCACAGCCAGGAAGTGTTTCAAATGCCACAAATTTGAGCATATTAAATCAGATAGCACAGCCAGAAGAATAATCTCTTTCACTAATCAGGGAGCAGTTAAGAAATCAAACATTGATTAGGGAGAAGATGAAGATTTCAAAGAGGGTTCTCAACTTACAACCTATGAGGAAGAGACAGGCGATTCCAGTTGGCCCCATGAGAGCGACTCCAGCTGAATTAACAGTAGTTATTCTAGAAGGAAGTGAGTTTGAGGCAATGGGTGTTCATGCAGAGTATGAGATTTTGCTGCCTCAAGCTACCGTTTTTAAGACATTAAGAAAAGCATCAGAAGGATTAGCATTGGATGTCCAAAAGGGCCATGAGTTTGAGGAGTCGATACTAGACACATGACAACCTCAGATTAAGAGAATTTCATAATTCTCAAATAGATAGTCTAACTCTTGAATTGCCCCTACTAAGGAGGTCCAACAAATTAGATATGAGAACCTTTTAAGCTACTTCTCTAAGATCATGTGGAGTCATTTGGGTATTAAATTCAGTTCATCTGTGTACTCACCGATAGATGGTCAGACAAAAGGGATAACTTGCAGTGTTGGAAAATGTCTTAAGAACACTGCGGGAAAGAATCCTATAATGAAATTCAGGTTTTCCAAAGAAAAAGAAGATGTCCCTCCCGAGTAGTTACACTTTAGTATGGTCCAGCATGCCACAGATGTCAGTCCAAAGTTGAATCCTCCATATGAAGTTTTTTATCAAATGTGTCGAGCCGAGTACGAGGAGTGGAAGAAGCAAATTACATATTTGATGGCTCAAGAGTTTGTGAAGTTCTGCATCTATATGCATCACTAACTCAGGTTATGTCGAAATAGAATACTTGTTATATCAGAAAGTACTCTGAAATGTCAATGCCTATAGGATTGGACTTATCGGAAAGTTACAGTAGCTCTACAGCCTTGAACCCAACTAACCCGACACCATACTACGAGAAGCTAGAAGCTTCCACGTAAGAGATCGAAGCTCCCTCAAACCAGGTAGACTAATACGGGCATAAGGAAGAGGGCAAGGGGAGAGATTATGTTTTGTGTCCCAGACATCTGGACAGAACCAGTCTAAACCCGGGAGAGCCAACGACTCTTCTACGAGGGATCGGTGCCTCCTTTCTATAGACAGAACCAATCCTAGTTATTTAAGGCTTATATAATTGATTCATTTGTTCTAAGTTTTCAACTTTGTGTGTTTTGTATCGAGACAGCCATCAACGGCTCCTTTCCTTCAAACATTGTATCCTAGGGTTTCAAGCGGTGATTGGTCTTCAAGTGATGTGTATCTTCTTTATCCCCTTCTGCATCCTCCCCACATCACTCTCGGCCGCCCTTCGTTGTTTAGCCATCCAAGACAGCATTTTGGTTGTTGTTTTCTGCATTTCCAGCCATCACCACCCTCCCCTCCCCCACTTCGCTGCCATAGCAATTCTAGCCCACCAACATCATTGTCACTACTATACAACCACCTTGAACCGTTGCCGCACCAAGAAACCCCATTGCCTTGCTATTTTCCTGCAAGCTCCAGCCTCCCAGGCATTTGCCTCTTCCCACACTTCTTCCATTGCGCTCAAAATGTAGAGCAACAAAAAAACCTTCATTAAATTCTCATCTCCTGTTGTCACCATTTAAGATTAGGTCACACATACCATTGAACTTTAATTTCATAGACAAGCATAAGCTAATAAAAATAGTCACATTTATAACCCAACTTTATAGTGTTAACCATATGGAGCTCAATGCCCAAAAATTTGTCATCAAAGCTGACAGCAAGTGAGCTCAATTGACTTGATCAAATTGAACGCATTGATATGCATTGTTATGACAGCACCTTCAAGTCACCTTAACAATTTAAATTTTTATATTAAATATATTGTGATCATTGTTGAATAGTTTCCGTACATATCAAACCAAGATTTCATCTCGCTAGTTATGATCCACTTGTGCAATATACCGATAGCAATATTCTTGATCAGTAACTTTACAGCTCCTACCACTTGCCTTCCTAACAGAACACAGTCTTCTAGGCATTATAGTTGTCAAGATTCAACATAAAGAGAGGTACTTTCTCTAATAAATTCTTGATCCACATCCTCCAATACCACAATAATGCCATTGAATTGATCAACCCTCACCTTTTGCACCTGTGTGTTATTTTTCCCACATTTCCTATATGCTGAAAAGCTATCGTAGCTCTAATAATAATTGTTAGGCATAAGTGTGTGCCAAAAAGAAATGACGTCATAAGAAATTAAAATAAAAAAATTACAAAAATAACAGCAAAAAAATACTAGAGTTTGCATGGCTCAGTGATATCAAACTACATCTAGGACCACACTTGATAATAACTACACTTTGAACAAAAATAAATCTATAATACAAATGTATGCTCACCCAAATACTAACACACGCTCATCAGTTTTCTTCCCTCAATCTGGTATCCCCCTCCAACCCTGAATTTAATTCTTCCACCAAGGCCTCACTAAAAAATAGGAAGTTTGTCATCTCCAATTTTGGACAACTATTTTAGAGGTTAGCCCATATCTCTAACTTCCCGTTGTTATTATTGGATCTTCAATACTCGCTGTCAACCACCCAAAAAATGCAGAGCATCAAAAGAAGGACCTTCAAGTAGTCCTCATCTCCAGATGTTCACACTTAAGATCACATCAGACATCACCGAACTTCACACTTAAGATCACATCAGACATCACCGAACTTCAAGTAGTCCTCACAGTCATCTCCAATTTTGTTATTTCTCAAACTAAATCAAAAGCACTTAAAGATATCAAAACTAGAGACAACAAAGGAGTTAAACCGGTATCAAAGACTAGCATGAACTATTGACAATTTTCACAGCTAAAACTAAACTCTCTAGAAAGTGATGATGATAAGCTCGCTGCCCAAACTTTGTCATCAAATTTGAAATAAAGTTCAACTGGCTTCCATTTAATATGAATTCAATGATATTCATTTATTAATGATGGATACACTTCTTCCATTGCAATGATGCACACATGAACAAAAAAATAAATAATTTACGAGAATAATAGCAAAATAACACAGAGGGTTTGCATGTTCCGGCGAAATCAGGTTTCTCCTACAGCTGCATACAAAGATAAATACACACCGATGCAAAGATAAATATATGATACAAATGTTTGCTCGCCAAAATATTAGCTCACGCCCTTAAATTTTCTCCCTCAATTTGATATTCCCTCTTCAACCCGAGCTCAATTCTTCCATGAACCACACTCATTGAAGATAAATGAAAGCTCGTCGCCTCCTATTTTGGACGACCACTGCGATGATTAACACTTATTTCCTCTTTTGAAGGTCTCTATCTTCCAGATATTATTGTTGGCTCGTTAGTATACATTCTCAATCACCACAATAAACTAAAAAAAAAAACACCCACAAAATAAAATCAACCAAGATAACCACCCACCTCCATTCACTTGCCGCATCTCCAACTTGCCTCCAAACATGACTAAATTAAAGAGAAGAATGAATGATTGCCTTGAACATCATTCAATAATCTCCTTGCATAATGCTTAAAAAGTAACAAACTTTAAGAAACTATATAGTTGGCAATAACAGGAAGATAGAATACAAGTATAAGTTCGGTAAAATTTTTAGAAATGTATATACATGAAACAAATAGACGCAGAAGGCTTTGACATTGCAACCAATAATGATAAGAAATTATCTCCAGATCTCAACACACTTTGCATTTATGGCGTGTAAGAAATCCTATTTTAATATTATAAAATTTATTTTTAAACCTTCATGATATTGTCATTCAAGTATTACTCTTCTCACGGGAGTCATAATTTTAGCCATCAAGGTCTAACTCTAAAGGTTGATTCATCATTCCTTGTTATTTCTCAAACTAAATCAAAAGCACTTAAGGATATCAAAACTAGAGACAACAAAGGAGTTAAACCGTGTATCAGCCTAACGTCCTGTCTAATCCTCATCATTTGTCATCACCATCGATTTAAGTCATAATGCTTCATTACTAAGGAAAGCCTTCACTTTTATCAAACAATGAACCAAGAATAAAGAATATCTAAACTAAAAAATTGAACCTTATATTGCTTTTAAGGGAAAAAAGAGCACACTCCAACATTTTAGTTATATAGTTATTAACTAAAATTTCACAAACACACTCAATAAATCTCTTTTCAATACATCCAAACTTCTTAGGTTGAGAAGAAAAATTGTGTCAAAGACTCTAGACCCAAAAATAGATCATTAGTGGAAGACAAGTCAACAGAAATGTTTAATTAAGTACAAGATAAATGAGCAAAATATGAACTGCAGTATAAGACTATAATTTTTAAATGCAACAGATAATGAATTTGAGTGTCATTTTGGGCTACAAAATAGTATTCTCATAATTATTATATAAAATGTATATAGTTTGGACCACATAGCTTTTAGTTTTACTCATTTGCCTGCACTCAACATCAAAAGAGGGTCACACGAATTTTCTCCTTCAAAACATGTATACATGCAAGAAGCTTGAAACAATAATAAGAAAGAGACCATAATTCATAGTAAAATACAGATAAAAACTAACCTCATCTTTCACAGGAGTTGGTAATGGTTGGCCAACACCCTCTGGAAGATTGCTCGGCAAGCAATATTCATTCACAATGGCTAGTTTCGACCAAACTTTATCGTCTTCCCACAAAGACTATCAAGCAGAATAAATTAACTTATAATCAGCAAACAGAAGAAAGAAATGCACGATTTCATACACAACTAATTACAACTTAATGAAACACAGCAGAAGAGTGTATCATAAAGAAGAAGATGAGCACAAAGAGCTCTCACCAAAAGTTTGGCGGGATAAAAGTTCTGCTTGTTGCTAGAAACTACAACATTATCTTGAAGCTTGATGATATAACCATTAATGCAACAAGATTTATAATAAGTTCTATTATCCACAATCTCAAGGATATCACCAACCCACTCAAATTTATGCAAGTCTTCTACAAATGAGGAGTTGCCAGAATCACTCACATTTCCCAGAATTTGGCCACACGTCATCTCAGATCTGTGTTCGCCCTCTTGACTGACTTCTAGCACTTGATTTGTAAATCCTTCTGAAGATTTAGAAATATCTTTCAAGTCATCAGTTATCGCTGTGCTAGTTTTTGGCATCAGATCATCTGTTGATTTAGCACTAATTGCAGAATTTGCCTCTTCAATAGCCTGCAAATTACTAGTTAACTGAGACTGACAAGCAATTTCAACAACAGTTTCAAGTTTGTGGTTAGAACAGAGGTATTCTGGCCGTTCTTTTGTATCTGGTATAGGTTCAGAGATAGATCTCTGCATCTCAGATGCAGTTAACGACATTTCCTCAGGCAGCTTATCAAAATTCATGGATTGAGAATCAGAAGCATGTTTTTCTGTCTCAGTTTCTGGTAGTTTTCCAGCAGTTAGATCATTAGAAATTCCAATTTGTGCTTCAGGTGTCACAGTTGCCAAGCCACTTGTTTCCTCCAACTGATTGATTGACGTCCCTGAATCCATCCCTTCTCCAGGTCTTTTCTCATCCAAACTTGACGCCTGGACAGCACTGGATGAGCTCAAGTTCTCATTTTTCATTGATTTGAGATGGTTAAGCTTGGCCTCTGGAGTTTCCCCATTCTTCTCTACCAAACTAGTTCCATCTCCACTTGAAGTGGTCAATACTGACGGAAAACTCCTAGTGACACGGCCATATTTTGGTGGAAATGGTTTGCCATTGTTTTCTGACAAGCATTTTGGACAGTGCCAATCAACTTTTGGAATGGTCCTGTTGCCATGAATTTGAAGGCACTTCAAATGAAATCCATACTCACAACCATCACAAACAAGTAAACTTTCCACATCAGTAATAATTGTCTTGCATACTTGACAATTAAGAGGCTTGGTCATGTATTCAGTTGATGGAAGAGGTAAGTTTGGACAATCAGGAACCTTTGTTCGCACAACACCCATAACAGTTTTAGCAATTTCATTGTGATTGCTAATAAAAGAAGGAACAGGCACAAATTTTAAGTTTTGTGAAGGTTGATTTCCCATGCCCATGTTTATTTGCGTTGCCTGAACCACAGGAACTTTTGTATCACGTGTTCTCTTCATCTGGTGTGAAGCCTGTATGGCTTTTACTTCATGATTACCCTGTAAAATACTAGCTTGGCTTTGTGTGGCTAGAGCAGCAGATGTTGATATCCCTGAAGCAGGTGTTTTCTCCATAAGGTAATTGGCAGCAGCGTTAGCTACATTGTAAATTACCCAATGTCAACAATGATAACTCAAACAGTTTCATCTGAAATACTAAGAAAAACTATATCAAATTACATTTATATCATATGCAGGCAAAAAAAAAAAAAAATTGCCCACCAAATAGTTCACTCAAGTTGCCTAAAATATTTCCTTCATACACTGAATATCAAAAGGCACATTCAGAAGAATATAATTGGTTAGTATATTTCTTTGCTAAATAAATTGAAGTAGCCAAGAAATAAAATCATCTCATTCATGTGGCCATAAACAATAAATAAACAGACCATCAAGTCAAATCATAAATTGACTTGGATCACCATCAGAAAGACAGCCAAAATATTATAAAAACAAGCAGGATTCAAAAACAACACCCATAGAAGGAAACTCAATTACTTCAAACCTAAATTTGGAAGAAACAAAAAAGGCAAAGAGAGCACTTGTGCAAGTAAAAAGATCATCAAACTAAAAAGGATAGACTAGTTTCAAAAGTAAGCATTAGATTAGTTAGATTAGTTCACTAGAACAGCACAGTTTTTATGTTTGTTGAATAAGAAGAATATTATTGGTTAGTAAAGCGGATGGCCTTTGAAGGAAATTATACCCAAAAACTTTTCTTCTTTTTTTCCCTGTATCAGGGCAATCAATCTATGTTTGCCTTTCCCTTCCTAATCAGTGAAAAACTTTTTTTTGACAGGGAATGAGAGGCAAAACATTCAAAAGCGGAGGAGCGATCGATGCTTCCTTCGATTTTGAGGGTTATGTAAAGCATCTCAGATGTTGTCATCATTGAATCAAGTTTGCTTTTAGAGTTATAGAATGAGCCACTGGTTTGTACTCTCTCAGTATGTGTGAACTTACGGCTATAGTTGTCCTGCCTTCATGCAAAAGGACCTGCTTTGTCAAATGAAAATACAGAGTTTATTTTGCACTTCTCGACTGAAAATTCTTGAGTTAGCAATTGAAAGAATACGTCCTAGGAAGACAAAGAAGCTTGAAAAAAAAAAAGGTTGTTCATGAAAGTCTTCAAATTATTTAGATTTGTAAGTGGCTTTATTAACTCCTTCACAATTGGATCTTTTTCTAAATTTCCATCATTCTTTTTACAATTTTAAGTCTAGGAAATTCGACTTGGTTAGCTTAGTTTTTACTTGCATCATAACTTGTTGGATTCTCTAGACTTGCATTTGTAAACACTTAGTTCATTACTTTCCAAAGCTTGAATTAAAGGCTTAACCTTCGCAAAAAATACTCACATGAAGATTACATCATCTTGATTCCACAACGGATTATAATTTGCTGCTACATCCCATCTTAGTTTCACTTTTTTATTGCTTCACATTTAGTTTATTAGTTAATTTATTGTTATTGTTTCAACTTCATTTTAGTTTGCAAATTTATAAAAAATATTAAATGACTTGGTTTCGCTTGAAATCTTTTGGGCATGATTGTAATTTTATGTTTAGTTACCATTAAAAAGTTCTAGTCAATTTGATGTCTACCCCATAAATTTTCATCATATTTAAATTACTTGCAATTATTATTTGTATGCATTTTCATCATAATTGTCTCAAATTTAATTTATGTATTTGAAGGCTCAATTCTCATTAGCTTGAAATTCTCTTCAATTTATTTTTTAAACACTTTTTTTAATTTCTTGCGTGATAATACTAGATATGTGAAAACCTAAGCACTATCTACAAATAAATAGATAAATAAACAAATATAAAAAAAATTATACTTATTTTCCATACAATGACAATTTGCAATGGTCGTCACTACCCAAACTAAGCCCATGATTTTTGGCATGAGGATATTGTTTTTCATTGATATGATCAATCAAAAATCTCACACCGCCAAGTAATCTAGAAAATAAGGTTGGTAACACCAACCCTGAAGCCCGATCCAATTGGAAATGCTTCACTCAAGAATAATGAAAGAAACCCACCACTTAATCTCATTTCATATCCTCCAAGGTTGCACCTCATAATTGTTATCCTGATCCATTCATAATGGATATTTATCACAACAATCCCGAGATGGATAAAGCACAATATCACGCACCTCTTAAATAAGGTACCCTTAAGAAAACATGATGACAAAATTCCACAATTGGCCACGAACGTCACTCTCACCATCATGATGAGTTACCACATGGCATGGATCACCATTACACCAGTTCGTGGATGTTATCCTCACCATTATGATAATCTATCATATGGTATGGATCACCACGATGCCAACTTGAGCCATGTGGATTGAGACCTACATAATGACATCAACCATCAAGCCAAGATTGAACCACCATTTTTTCGTGATCGTTAAGACCCGTAATTCTTCCTAAATTGGCTCACTAGTATAGAAAAATATTTTGACTAAATAAGCATGTCTAAGGAGCATCATGTGAGGTTTGTGTCAAAACTCGAGCGAAATACCTTTACAACAAAGCATCCATCGATCAGCTCATTGGATGAGAATAAGACTCAAGTAAATTATCACCCCTAGATGATTCACGATCAATTTCTACATGAGTAAACTTTTATTTGGTAAGAATCCATTTCAATCGTTAAAAACACAACAAGCTTCAATGAGTTCATAATTTTTGTGAAGATTAAAAAGACCACCAAACCATCTTCCATGCTTATTAAAGAGGTTTATACCTTTGAGGATACATCTTCTTGCTCTTTAGAATGACGAGACTTAAAACGCCAATACAAGCAAAACTCATTGCTACATCAAGAAAGAAATTGCAATAGAAACCTAGCCAATTCTCATCCACTAATAAAGGATATATTAGTCCTAAAAAAAAATGCAAAGTTGGAACATCTAGTTCCAAATTTATCAGCGTCACATGTTCACATTTGGCACAACGAGCCCATATGCACACATTTGTCACCATATGAGCTACATATAGAATTAAGAGATATAAACTCTAAATAGAGACCATATGGATGATAAAGTCAAGATAAACCCCTATGTTGAGGCAAATGATGAAGACAAACTAGAAAGACACTTCTTGCAATAGTATGTTGCGTATTGGCTACCCTTAATGGACGATATAGACTAGTAATGTATCATCATATTACACACTTAATTCAAGTATCGTTATAAGTTATGCAAGTTGATAACAGATAATACCAATTATATGAAGGTTAGCACAACTCTATTTTGGGTAGGATGGAACTCACACTTAAGCCACATCCTCAGTTTTACAGGGTAGCTTAGTTGATTAGACATCAATTCCTAGCACCCAATGTTGCCTAATACCCCTCATTGAGTGAACTATTCGGATAGGATATGTTGTGACGTTTTTTTATGGATGTAGCCATATACTGCTTGGGAGACCTTGGCAATACAATTTGAACATCACCAATTATGACCAATCCAACAAGCATGATTTCAGGTTTAAAGGAAAACAATATAGAATTTGAGCATCACCAATTATGAAACACCCGACGTGCATGACTTCAAGTTCGAACGAAATCAAATCATTCAAAGCCATGCTAAGCCAAAAGAAATTGGACCTCAACAGCCTAAGGACACTTTCTCCCATGCAAAAAGTTCTTTCATGTTAGAATCAACGACCAAGGAATCAGTAATAGAATTATATATGCTCTAATTGTGTTAGTCACTTCAATTCAACTTATGTTTGAGCCTATTTTACCTAAGATAAATTGATTCATAATGAACGTCCGAGACATTTGTCACTCAAAAACTTCCAAATGAGCTACCTCCATGGAGAAGCATCCTCAAACCATTGAATTTATACCAAGATTTGCACTCTTTAATGTATCGCATCATAGGATGAGTTCGAGAGAACATGTTGAATACAAGTGGCGAGTTGATAAATTCATCCGAAAAGATTCTTCTTGTATTGCCTCAGCTTTTACACCCAAGGGATATGGAGAATGTGTGTGTAGAGGATCGCGGTATTAACATAGGTACCATCAAATATTGGTTCCTCATACCTCAACTAGGCATCGAGCTGACTTGATGGAAAAAACAATCTTCAAAGAATCATATTGAGCGGATGCCAGTACATCCACATATACGCTGTTTTTATTCAATGGAAAATTCTTAATCATCTATCTTGATGATATTCTAATCTTTAGCAACACTAGGAATACACAAACCCTTCGTCTGCATTAAGGTTTTGAGGCTCCTTGCCAAGAGAACCTATTCATCCATATGAAGAAGCCTCAATTTATCTTGAGAAAATCAAAGCCATCAAGAATCAGCACATGCTCACCAATATCCAAGAAGTCCTAGCATTCATGGATTGGCCACAGTTTCAAACGATTTAATTATACTTTATCGCTCCCATCACTCATTTTCTTAATAAGTGTGAATTTAAATATATTATTGTCACATCAATAACCTTAAATTAAATAAAGAAGTACTTCCCTAACACCCATATGTTCAAATTGACTTCTTTCAAAATAAATTTTAATGCGTCCCAAAAACACATCGAGATTGGTATCAACAATGTTCTTAAAACAGTATAGTCATCTAATCTCATAATTGAACAAAAAATGAATGAAATGTACCAGCATTATCAAATATATGATCATGAGTTCTAAACTATTACACAAGTTTTGCAACATTAGCATCATTACCACATTTCTTAAGTGTTCAAGCTTTATTCTAACGATGAAACTCGAGTATCCTAATGCTAAAAAGAAACTCAATTCCAAACAAGCCAATAAGTTCATTTCTTTAGGTGTGCATATGCATTCTTAAATACAAATATGATATTGAGAACACATGGTAGATGCCTTAAGCAGGATGTGTGTATTACTACAAACTATTGATATTATAGTCATTGAATATGATAAAGTCAAAAGTGATTACCCCAATTACAAAAGCTTTGGTCCGATTTATGAGTCATTGATTCTATAGCAAGCACTCACTTACATGTGCACAAGGTTAGCTTTTTTAAGGAAAAGTACAAAACTGACATTGAATCAAATAGGTGGTGAGTATAATTTATGAGAGATGAATAGCTCTTTTAAGAGTTAAGAACAAGAGATTCACTACTTAAATTCTCAAGAAGTTAACTGCCAAATCTAAACCTTATACAATCATGAGAAGAATAAATGGCAAAGCTTAGGAAATATTTCTTCATGTTGATGTTGAAATATCAATAACCAATGTGGTGAATTTAGGTTTATACCATGAAAAAGTCTCAAATGATAAAAATTTCTAAGCAGACTCAAATAGCTCTCCACATGCTGATTACTCCAACAACAACCCACTTCCTTCCTAATCCTTTGTCAACTCTCTCCCTCTTAGACTCATTTGATCAATGCTTCTCCCTAATAAACTCACTTAACCAATGCTTCTCCCACACCAACTCATAGTAAATCCCTCAATAACTAGCTCAATTAATGCTTCTCCAATATTAACTTGCTTGCTCAATTAATTTCGCTCATTAACTTCACTCCCTAGACGACTTGTTGAGATTGCTTCATCATTGGCATACTTGCCAACTTGTCTCTCATTTTAGCCACAAATAAACTCACAAATGCCTCCATGTTGTCATTTTCATTAAAGAAGTTTAGTCTCAACTCTCTGCCAATGCCCATCAAATGATTTCTAAAACTCATTAAAAGGTTAAAGCCATAAGGCATTTGATGATTTTTCCACTCTTATGGCTTAGATGACACAAGTTTTTAGGCTTTGAGATCTTAAGAACTTAGAAGTTAGTTTAGTTTTCTTTTTTGGATGTTTCTAAAACATACTTTCATGAAGCCTTCTCAACCAGACATTTGGCTACCAAATTCTGGACAATGTTCTAAATCTATTTACATTTTTAGCAATAAAATGAGTGAACTGATTATGAAAATTAAATTTTAGAATTCATTTCAAATTTCTTTCTTAAATTTGATTTTTAATCATATTTACTTAGAAATAATTGAAATATAAAATTAATAGTGCTTATAGATCTACCCCATCATGTGATAGGCTGAACTCCCTATCCTTATGCCTTCACCCTTTAAAGCATGGCTACAAATCAAATAAACAGAAGAATCCAAAGGCATATCATCCCATTGAACTTTTGGTACTGCAAGCACTAGTTTGCATAATGTAGCCTTGTTTTCATATAAAAGGTTAAGCCTTATTGAATGAAGATATCAAGTTTCTCTTGCATCTTGCTTTCTATTATTTCCCTCTCAAGCAAATGACTTCTTGAATGAGGGCTAAATGTGGGTGCAGTGAATGGTATAAGTTTTTCAAGCGATTATGGCATGCCAAAAGCGAATTGAATTTGCAGTCCACATAAAGTGAAACTTCATATTTTCTCGGATTCGCCTCTAATCAAATCCAAGAGCTTTATTCACTTTTACTTGCCTGGTTTACTTTTGCATTTTAAAAAAGTAACATCTATCATCTTCACACGCTTCAAACTCATAAAAATATGGCTTTGTTACCAAGAAATCTGAGATGTAAATACCAAACAAAAACAATGGACATCTACCATGAAAGTCCCATTTATCCATTTATCATTATTTCATTCAAAAATAAAGGCGCAAAAAGGACTTCAACTTCAAAGGTGAATTCAAAAGTTCAAATGCTTATAAAATCTCATCCTAAAGTGTTTGCAAATCTCATCCTTGGGTCATTGAAATAGGAGACTTCCATTAGATGAAGATAATATGTCAATCCAATTCAGTGGATATAAAAATGCAATAAAAAATTAGCGATGATCAATAAAAGATGAATCAAAATTTTAGCCATCAAACTAATCTCAACACTGTCTAATAAGAACTAATGGTAGGAAATCTGACTAAGACTTTGGTTCATGAATGGTCATTCGACAAACAAAAATCGATCTTACTAATCATACCATGCCAAATTAAAAAATTAGAATTCTATCATTAGCAAAGATGTCTTAATAACAGATAGAAATAATCGACTCAACTATCAGCAATAACAAAAGAACTTCATTTCCAATAAAAAAAATTAAACGATCACTGGATAGAATAGTTGATCAACACAGCCTATTAGGTAACAAAAATCTCGGAGAAAGAATAAAGCAAAGAATAAAACAAAAATGAACAAATTAATAATAATAATAACAATAATGTTTGCAAAACGATACGTCGAATGATTGTAAAATAAGTTGGCCCATTGATTCGCGCATCTAGCCTTTGATTTACAGCTTCCACGCTTGATGTTGATATTGAAGATGTATCTTTTCCAAAGGATGATTTTGCAAGAGCAGTATGTGATTCACTCGTCAGTGTCTGTTTCATAGAGGTAATGGAGGAGCACAAAGCTGGTATATGTACGGCTGAATTATTGGAAAAACTTCCAGCAGTCAATACAGTCGGATTTGATTTACCGGCTATTAATTTTTGAGAACCATGGATTTCGGAGCTTGCACTTAAGCTTGCTGAATAAGGTAAAGAAGAATGACCTGAAGCTGTGTGGTCCCGTGACTCTTCCATCTACAGTAATAAAGAGAAAAGGCTCTAGCATTGGAATTAGATACAACAATGTAATATAACGAAATTAAGTTGAAAATTATCAAAGTAGATATGAAAAAGCAATCAAAATGTAAAATTTAATGGTTCAAATTAAATACTACAAGGACAAAGAAATTGGAATGACAAATTTAGGAATGTTTAACCAGATCATCAGAAATGTGTTTGATCGGTCATTAAATCCTATGTTTGAAACTGCTAGCCGCCAATTTCTACAAAATTCACCATATGGAGAAGCCTACTCAGCATCCGTTAAGGCTCTTGACATATTCAATCTAATCTCCAATTTAGGTTAAGAGAACTAAACCATGTCTATTCTCCTAACCTAATTTATTAAGCCCTTAAATTAATGCAATCAGCCAACTTAGTGATAAAGCCAAAAAGAATAGCCAGCCCCAAGTTTGAATTGTTGTTATCCCCGTCATTGTCTTTTAGTTATGAAGCTTACCATCCATTTATTGGTCGTCCACTGAAGTTTCTTCAAGATTTTAGTGTGCCTCTAAATTACCACATTTGCTAAGAAGCATAAGACACTGATAAGGCTATAAATTGTAACACTTTCGTTGTCGGGTCTCAAGCCCCGGATGTGAAAAGTGAAGGGTCGCATTAAGAAGTCGACAACCAGCGTAAAATTTATCGAAAAATTATGACATAAATCTTTTATATCTTTGTGTAAAAATTAGGGTGTTTCTAGAAAGCGGAGTGTTGTATGGTCTGAATACAGTGAAAAATGTGTTATGACCGCTCTACCTATGCCCAAGTGTAGTGTCAAATAAATAAGGATGGATGGATACGAGCAAAGAAATTAGTTCATGTAACTAATATTAGGATAGGATCTTGGAATATAGGTATTTTCACAGGTCAAGTAATTGAATTAGTTGATATGATGATTCATATGAAGATAAATATCATATGTGTTCAAGAAACTAATTGGGTTGAAAAAAAACAAAGGAGATTGATAGCTTAGGTTTTAAATTTTGGTATTCAGTTAAGAGTCGCACTAGAAATAGTGTAGGTGTAATTACATAAAAGAGTTTGAAAGATAATTTTGTAAAAAGTAATAAAATTTGAGGTAGAATTATAGCCCTTAAGATAGTTGGCGATACTAAGACTTGTAATATTATAAGTGTTTATATTCTCAAGTAGGTTTAGATATACATTCTAAAAGAAATTCTTGAATGAACTAGAAGAATTAATACAAATGATACCTCTTGAAGAAAGAATTTTTATTGGAAGATATTTAAATAGACATGTTAGTAAAGCGGTAGATGATTTTAAAAATATTCATGGTGGATATGGTTTTGGAGTGATTAATGTAAAGGTAGAGTCATATAAGATTTTGTTTTAATGTATAATTTTGTTATTGCTAATATTTTATTTAACAAAAGCTATGAATATATTATTGCTTATAAGAATGGATCAAATAAAACGCAAATTGATTATTTTCTTATGTGAAGAAGTAATCGTCGATAATGAAATGATTGTAAAATCATTCTAAGTGAAAATTTAAGTACTTAATTTTGATTATTAGTTTTAGATTTTAAGATGAAAAGTTGGAAGAAAAAGAATACTAGGAATCATTGTCATATAATTAGATGAAAGCGCCTAAAAGACTCAAATAAAATTATTATAAGTAAACTTCAAGATTTCAAGATTTGGAATATTCATGAAGAAGCAAATTCTATGTTAGATAAAGTAACAACTACTATTAAAGAAGTGAAAAAATAGTATTTAGAGAATTAAAAGAAAAATTTTCTACAAATAAAAATAGTTTATGGTGAAATAATAATGTGCAAGAAAAGATAAATTATAATAAATTATGTTATAAAAATTGGTTTAAATGTAAAAGCTTAGAGAACTGAAAAAATATAAGGTGGCTTATAAGAAGTTTAAGAGAATAATTTGTGACGCTAAAAATTCTATTTTTAGTGTTCCTTATAATAAATTAAATATTAAAGTGGGTGAAAAATATATATATAAACTAGCTAAACAAAGAAAAAAAAAAGTAAAGATTTAACTCAAATAAAGTGCATTAAAGATGAAAATTAAAAAGTGTTTTTCTTTGAAAAATATAATCAACATGGGGGGTGGGTGAGCTATTTTGATAGACATTTCAATGAAGTTTCTGAAACTACAATCAACCATATTGATTTTAATATCATTAATAATAATAAATGTTTTATTTTATTGTTGCATTAGTAAAAAAAAAAAGTTGAAGAGCCTTTAAAGAAAACCAATGGTGAAAAATAAGTAGAACATGATGATATCCTTATTAAAGTGTGAAAATATTTAGGAGATTTGAGAGTTTCTTGGCTTACTAAACTCTTTAATATTATTTTAAAATCTAAAACGATGCAAGAGTAGAAGAATAGTATTTTGATCCTCTTTTTTAAGAATACAGGGGATGCACGACATTGTGCAAATTATAGATGAATTAAGTTGATGTGTCATACTTTAAAATTAAGGGAGAGGGTAATTGAAAATAGGTTTAAGATGTGTTACAAAGATTTTTCATAATCTATTTGGATTTATGTCGAGCAGGTTTACTATGGAAGCTTTACATAGAGAATGACAGAGAGAATAAAGTGGACCTACATATGATTTTTATTAATTTAGAAAAAACTTATGATAAGGTTCCAAGAGAAATCCTTTAGAGAGTTCTAGAGAAAAATGTGTTCATATGACTTATATTCATATCATTAAAGATATGTATACTAAAGTCGTTACTTGTATTCTAAAAGAAGGATAATTGACTAAATATTTTCCTATTTCAGTTGGATTACGTCAGGGGTCAGCTTTAAGCCCATATATTTTTGCTTTAGTTATAGATGTTCTTACTGGACATTTACAAGGTGATATAGCTTGGTGTATGTTTTTCGATGATGATATCCTTCAATAAGACTAGAGAAAGAGTTCAGGAAAAACTTGAATTATGGAAGTCTACATTGGAATCTAAAGGATCTAAAGGCCTTCATTTGAGTACATTTGAGTAGAACTAAAATTGAATACATTGAATGTAATTTTAGTCATAGTATCTCTAGTGGTAGAGTTGTAACTATGGGTGATCAAATCATTAAAAGGTGTGAATGCTTTAGATATCTCGAGTCCATTTTTCAAAGTGATGATGATATAGATGGGGATGTTATTAGTCGAATTCAAGTTGGTTGGTTGAGGTGGAGGGGTGGAGGAATGCTGAGGAATGCTTCAGGCCTATTGTGTGATAGAAAAGTACTGCTTAAAATGAAAGAAAAATTCTATAAGATTGTGGTGATACCTGCAATGCTTTATGGCGCGCAATGTTTTCCTTTAAAAGAGAAGCATAAAAGAAAATTAAGTATTGCCGAGATAAGAAATGCTTAGGTGAATGAGTGGCTTGACACCTAGACAAAATGCGAAATGAATATATCTATGATGAGGTTGGTGTAGCTCCAGTGGTGGACAAAATTAGAGAGAGCCGTCTTAGATGATTTGGTCACATTAAACGTCGACCATTTGATGAGTTGGTTAAGAGAGTAAATGTTTTAGGTTCAAATTAAGTTTAAAAAGTTAGAGGTAGACCTAGAAACACTTGGGCATATTGAATAAAAAAATGATCTTAATTTATTATAATTAAATGAAAATTTGACACTCAATAGGACGCAATGGAGAAAAAAGATTTATGTAGCCAACCCCATTTAACGGGATAAAGGTTTGTTATAGTTGTTGTTGTTGTTGTTGTTGTTTATTCATGCAATCAAGGGAAGTTTAAATGAAACATCCATAGATATGCACAAGAAATTATGTGCATAGGTGGTAAATATGTCTAAAAATTTTGCACCCACAAAACTCTAATAACTTCTACTTGAATAAAACAAAACCACTAAATTACATAAACTGCTCCTGCGGTAACATGCTGCCCACCAAATTCCATTTAGCTCATTTCTATGAGTTACAATGCTCTAGATTGTACAAATCATTCTGAACCTAATACAGATTCGTAGGCACAATCTTATCATCCAACAAATTATCCAACATAAGTAAAGCCCGCCGTACCTAATATACAATGAGCCAAGGAAATCATACTAAAGTAAGAAAAATTCCTGGCTCAAAGCCAACCACCAATCCAAAATATAATAAAGAAGGTAGAATGTAATAGGCCATCAACGAAGATACGAGCCTGGAAAATGATGAAGATAAAACAAAAATACTTACCTTTTTCTTGGTGTGCTGCACTCTCTCGCAGATGGACATCTTCGGCGGCCGTAACGCTTGCGCCGGGCCCCTCGACCGATTCAATCCCAGATCCTCGACTATGACCCTGACAGCCTCACTGGAAAACAAGTCCTTAGGCCGAACCTCCTCACACAACCGAACTAGTCTCTCTCTCGCCTCCGCCGCCAAAGCCCTCTCCGCCGCGGTCGGTTCTTTCCCTGCTCTCATCTCAACCATCGCCGACAACACCATCACGATCTGTGCAACTCTCCGCAGCTCCTCGTCCTTTCCCCTTCGCCTCTTCGCTGGCGGAGGTTGCGGTGCCGCGTCTGCCTGTGCAGCTGAAGCGAAGCCCTCCCTCGCTTCGTCCCCCATAGACGGGGGGCGGAAACCCTAGAGATGGCGGTACGAGAGAGGGGGAGCTTTCAAAAGGGGTTTTTGGCGGGTAGGAATTGTTTATATGTCTTTATAAAAGGGAGGGGAGCTGTGTCTGAGATGGCGGTACGAGAGTTCGAAGGCTAGAGCTGAGATCCAGGAGAAAGAGATGGGCAAAATACTGAAATAGAGGCGAAAGAGGGGTAGAGTTTTTTAAGGGGATAAAAGGGCTGGTTTAGATGCTGGGAACTGGGCCTGACACGAAAGAGGGGTTACGATGTGCGTGTGACACGTTAATATTGGCTTCTTTCGCATTGCTTGCATCTAACCTTTTTCACGCTATGATTTATTGATTTTAATTGTGCGTAGAAATTGGAGAACTAAAAAAAATTATAAAATTTTGGATTTATGTAAATTAGGTGTAAAGTGAAATAAATACGAAATTTTATTGATTGGTTATGATCAAAATAAAATAAAAACAATGCATAACTTATATTTTCTAAAATAATTAAAAAAAAAACCCCGCATTAAAAATACTGTTAGAATCGGGTAATGCATAATTTATATTTTCTAAAATAATTAAAAAACCCCGCATTAAAAATACTGTTAGAATCGGGAGCAAAATTAAAAACTTGTGTGCGACTCTTCTGTTTGGCTACTGCCTCCCCTCCAATCGGAGAAAATTTTCCATACAGAGTTCGGACGCAGCTCTACGTGCGGACTTCTAATAATATGCCGCCACGTGTGCTACATCGCGTAGATTATTGTGTGGTTATTAAAGTGAAACTGCAGAAGTTATTTGGGGGTTGTTGGATGGTTATTAGAGGGTTATTGCAGGGGTTAATACATGGGGTTATTGAAATGGAATCGCAGAGGTTATTGGTTATTGTTTATTGGGGGGTTATTGCGAGGATTATTGTTGGGGGTTATTGAAGTAGAACCGTGAAGGTTATTGTGAGGTTATTACAGAGAGTTATTAAAGTGAGAGTGTGGAGGTTATTGAGGGACATTTTGGAGGTTATTAGAGGTTGTTATTGAAGTAAAACCGCAGAGGTTATTAAGAGGTTATTTCAACGTTATTGTGTTAATGCAGCAAGAACCCCTTAATAAGCTTCTCAATAACGTATGTGCATATGCATATCAATGGAGTTTGCATGCAGAGCTTTGTACGTACTCGTATGTAAAATTTTCTCCTCCAGTTGTCGTCACAGTGGCCTTCTTGCAATTTCTCCCATCGCTACGGTCGTTCGTCCACTCATGTGTTCTCTTCTTCTCTTGCCTCCCATTGCTGCAACTGCTCGAGTATTCAGTTTTCTTTTTTTTTCCTTGCGGTTGTTCTCTACTAAACTAGTATTATTGCATTTCTTCTCTCACAAACCTTAGATCCTGAAACAAACAGCAAAAGGGTTTATTCAGATTTGATTTTTTTCAATTGCCAATACCAACAGTTTTCACATTTCAATCCACTTAAAGATTTACAAAATCAGGATTTTATTAATCATAATTGTATGTAACATTTGATAGATCCAAAAGCATAACTGATTTTTTCCATTTTAAGAAGATGGTTTTGGATTGATTGTAGGTTTGATTCTATTATCTTAGTTTTGCCTTTTTTTTTTCTTATATTATTTATTTGAAAAATCTTCGAAAAGATGTTTGATTTATTTTTTAAGTGCATTAGATGTTAGCCGACTTTTCTGTCATTTGGTTAAAGAGGGAAAGTCGCGAATTGTTCATATTTTATGTACAAATGCTTATGTGATATTCTTCTTCATAGAAGCTTCAAATATAATTAGCACATTTCAATCTTCAATTGTGATAATACATAGATTAAAGAAACGTTTTTTTTCTTAAAAATTTTAGTAAACTTTAACTTATGTTACAATTTTTATGATTAGATATTTCAAAAGCACAAATGAGAAAAGTTGTGGTCTGATAATAAGATAGACAATTAATTTTAAAAATGACTATTTTGTGTTCCTGCAAAATTGAAAGTTCTACAAATATTTGAAATATATTGGATGCTCCAAGTTACTATAACTTTATATTTTATCTTAGTATGTAATATTTTAATATAAAAACTAGGTTGATCATGCATATGCATGTATTATAGAAATGGATGAACGAGTAGAAGACAATGAGGAAGAGTTGTCCGATTTCGATAACTCGTCGGACTATAAAAAGCAGTATAACTTAATTATTCATGTTGTTGTCTTTACCGCGGTGAGTAGTATATACTGATTATTAGATGAGACGAAAAGTCAAAGAAAAAATTCTAATCCTGAACGAGATATCCAACGTCAAATATTATCTCTACATTATATCTTGGTTTTGATCCTGATTGTGTAAACATAGTGCAAATGAGAAAAAAAAATTTTTTGAAATTGTGTAACTTACTGCAAACAAGAAGACTGCTTGCGGATACAAACTATGTGCACATGAAAGAAAAAGTTGTTATGTTTCTACATACACTTGGTCACAGTGTTCGCAATCGAGTTACACAGTTCAACTTCCACAGATTAAGAGAAACTATTACCAAGTATTCTAACATTTTTTTATATGTCAATGGAGAGATGTGACATGAAATGATTAAGCCGTTAATGCTCCAAACTCTACATAAAACACAAGCAAATTCCATATTTATGCATTTTTTTAAGGTACAATCACAAATAACATTTCATGTTGCATGCTTGTAATAGCACATTTTCTAAAATAATTACTTGAATAGGATTGTGTTGGCGCCATAAACAGTATACACATTAAGGCGAGAGTAATATAGAAATATGAATTCGCCATCAAAGGCAGAAAACTATATTCAAGTCAGAATGTGCTAAGCGCAGTGGACTTCAACTTGAGGTTTACATATGTTTTAATAGGTTGGGAATGTTCGACCCATGATGTAATCGTCCTTAGAATCAAATTAGAATGACCTGATGATTTACATGTTCCAGAAGCTATATAAATTAGGTTCATATTAAATATCATAAATAACTAATTTTTTTAATTAATATAAATTATAAATTATTGTAGACAAATACTACTTAGTTGTTGATGGTTACTCAACAAAAAAAGATTTTCTCTCCATTTTTGCAACAAATATCACTTAAAGGAATTTAGTGGCATTACACTAACAAATTATAAGGAGTTATTTAAACTTCAACGCACAACTGTGGAACGTTCTTTTAGATAATTGAAGAACCGATTTGCAAATTTAAACAACAAGTCGTATTTTTATTTAGATAGTCAAGTTGACATTGTTGTTGGATGTTGCATATTACATAATTGGATACTCACTAAAGTGGGTTAATTTTATTATCTCAGAAAATGAATGGGTCAGATGATGTCATGTCAGAAGAAAGATATGAACATGTTTTACATAACTGTCAAGAATGGCTAGGAAAAGAGATCAAATTTTTGTTGTCATATAGAATTGAATAATAGCCTATCAGCTGAAATGTTATTTAACTTTTTTTTTAAATTATAATTGTGTCACTTTTGGACTTTAGCAGTTTTAAATTTCAGAATATGAAGAGATTTCTTTTTTATATGTTCATTATATGTTTTTTTTTTTGCAAGTAACTTTTTTTTTTTAAATATGCATATGTAGCAAGTTATTTATTATGGACAGAAATTATGGATACACAACAATTAACCACTCTAGTTGTTTTCAAGAACAAGAAAAGAAAAAATTTCATGTAGAACTTAAAGTCGGAGTGGGTCGCCAGTTTGTTACAAATTATGACTGAATATGTTGATTTGAATATTTGAAATGCCCAAAGATTTAAGGAGTTTGTTTACCAAGGAGCTGCTCAAAAGTTAAAAAAGAAAATTAGAATTGAATTTAAAGGAGAGCAATGTAAGAATCAAATTCGACGCCAAAGAAATTTATGAATTAATATTCAAAAACTAAAGAAAAAATCTAACATGCCTTGGAATGAAAATAAAAAAAAAATTATAGTAATCGGTCATGGGAATACATATCTCATATATACGTATTTGACTAAAGTATTTTTCTAAGAAATCAAAAAATGAAAAAATTTTCTTGATTTATGCTTATTGTGTCAGAGGCTTTTCATGGAGATGCAACTCTCATGAATTTTCCTATTGCAAATTTATATGAAGTTGGAGAAGGTATACGGTGAAGGTCATGCCACTAGAGATTTGGCTAAGTCTGGAAATAGTCAAACCACTTGTCACCCAACAAATGGATTATGACGAGATTAAAGCTTTTGGAGAGAGTGGAGGAGATGCATCACTTCTTATGCAGTTGTCTAAAATGAAAGCAGAAGAAGGAAGCAAAAAAAAAAAAGAAAAAAGATGAAACGAGATATGTCATTTTCCTTGAAGGGGTGTGGCTAAAAAAAAAAATAAAAGATTATCTAATGATGATCGCAGCATTCTTGACTACATTGCTATGATGGTCGATAGTGTCAGTAGTGAACTTGTTAGCGCTATAAAAAGTACAACAAGAGCCTCAGAAGATACAAAATTGTTCACCGTGTTAATGACAGAGTTGTCTAATATTGTAGGATTTTTAGAGGAAGAAAGTAACATTATTTTTGCTAAATTGTCTAAGAACATACCAATGATTCATGTGTTTTTGTCGAAGGAAAAGATAATCTAATGATGTCGCAGCATTCTTGTCTACATTGCTATGATGACCGATAGTGTCAGTAGTAAACTTGTCAACGCTATAAAAAGTACAACAAGAGCCTCAGAAGATACAAAATTGTTCACCGAGTTAATGACAGAGTTGTCTAATATTCTAGGATTTTTAGAGGAAGAAACATTATTTTTGCTAAATTGTCAAAGAACATACCAATGATTCATGTGTTTTTGTCGAAGTCAATGGAGTCTAAAACTATGTGGTTGTGGAATGAGCTAAACAAGTGACATAGTTCTATGGGGATGAATGAGAGTTTAATTTCGTTCGATTGATATTACTTAGCATTTTATCGCGAACGCGTGAACATGTAATGAATTTGAATTCATATTCTGCTGTGTTTTTTCGAATCTTTAGTGGTCAACATACTTTGTTTATCTATGGAACTCTTTTAGTATTTTAAATGTATCTCAATTTGGATGTTTTGTTACTTTTTAGCTGAGCTTGATATAATTTAAAAGCTAAATCTTGTGTATCACAAAATACTAAACATCCGCAGTTAGTGAAAATGAGCTTCATTTAAAAAAAGATTTCTATTACATTTCTAACAAAGAATACGCAGGTTTCAGCTTATAAAAAAGAATTCTCTAACTACCACAAGGTTGCACTAAGCGACTAAATCATGGTGGCATCATTGAGATACAAACATGGTCTCCTCTTGCCACCTTTGCTTTCTGGATTTCATATAAGAATATCAAATTCAGTTGTTGTTGCAGATTTTTTTACTTTTATTTTTTAAATTTTCATCATTTTTTTATATTTGAAAACATTATTCAATCAAGCAATCTTCAACATCATTTTTGTTTTAACAATATTATAATTAAACTGTCATTAACTTGCAGCTTCTCATTGTGAAGAAGACTATATTACCTTTATATTAGCATGAGATTTTGGTTTTGAACCATACAATCAGGAAAAAAAATTTGGTGTGGATATCCTGCTTGATTAACTTGCAGCTTTTCATTGTGAAGAAGACTATATTACCTTTATATTAACATGAGATTTTGGTTTTGAACCATACAATCAGGACAAAAAATTTGGTGTGGATATCCT